AAAAAAAAAAACAACTCCTCGCAGGTGAGATATTTCAGGCATGTCCTGAGGGGAGGAGGCCCTCGGGCAGACCCAGAATATCCCATCTCTTTAGCTGGCTTAGGCATGACTCAATGTGTGCCAACAAATTAATCAAGGAAACCAATGGATCAACTTGATTTTTTACCCAATAAGTTAGACGCAATGTGTCCTCCGAATGAGCTGGAAGAGGTAGCTGGGTTGAGTTCAGGCCTGACCGACTCATCTCAGACTGTTGCCCCCGTTACTCAAATCCAGACAAGCAGTACAACATAGATGGATGAAAATTGCTTTCTGATGGCTTATGCTGCAAGCTCATCAGCCCTACTTTCAAATCCCAAGGAGGGACAGGCAGTCCCCAATCTCACTACTTTAACTTCAAACACTAAACAGTAAAACCATCCATTCTCCTCCACTTATCCAATTCAGTGTTGCAAGGGTGCTGGGGCCTACCCCAGCAGCTGTAGGATGAGAGACAGGGTACACTATGGATAGATCGCCAGTCTGTCTCAGGGCTAACACAGACAGACAACCATTTCCATTTACCTTCAGGCCTATGGCCAATTTTGAACCAATTAACCTAATCCAACTATTTCCATGTCTTTGGACCATGGGAGGAAGCTGAAGTACCCAGAAAAACCTCTCATAGAAAGGCCCAGGCTAGATGGTGGAATCAAACTAAGGACCTTCTTGATGTGAGGCAACAGTGCTAACAACAACGCCACTGTTGGTTACAACTGTCCAACAATGAAAAAGCAAAACTTAAAAATATTCACTAAAAATCCAAAGCTGAAATCTATAACTAAGAATTCAAAACTCAGAACAGAAACGAACAACAGAAACCCTTAGAACCATGCCAGCAAGAGGTGATAGAAAGCCATGCATAATTTCATGAAACTTCCATAGTTGAAAACGGTGAAAAAAACAAAACTTCTGCTGTTTTTGTCTGTTCAGGTGGGACGGCTACAGTGTCCTCTGCTGCTGGTTGTAGGTGAGGATGATCAGAACTGGCCATCCCAAGAGTCTGCATTGGATGTAAGTTTCCTGTCACAACTTCCTATGTAAAGAAGGTGGTTGAAATAAGGTTAGAAATGGGATTAACCCTCTCAAGGCAGGCGTTGCAGATTTGCAACAGTTAAAAACTAACGACCTGATTACCCCACATACATATTTTATGAGGGTTTTTTTACTCAGAAGTACCACTGCAGGACTTGGTTGTGCATTAGCAATAAAAAGTTTAAGTTTAATTTGAGCCTGAGAGGGTTAAAAGAATCTGCATGCATTGCTTTGAACATTCCTCAGCAAACTGCCCTGGTTGATGTAGCATGGACTCCCAACAGAGTAGTAACCACAGACTGGGGCAACCTGTCAACCTCCAGTTGAGGTTCAGGCTTAGGTGTTCTAGGCAATGCCCCAGATCTCCAAGCGATGCTGCAGACATGTGTAAGCCAAAATAGCCTGATGATTGTCATCTCCCTGATAGCCCTTCCTTGTCAGAAAAGTGGAGCTTTCCATTGCTTGAACCTCCCCGTGCTGAGGATGTGTCACCATTGGGGAAAAAAAGTGGTTAATGCCATCACTGATGGCCAACACAGGAACTATAAATGATAACCCCGCATCATTTTATAAACCATCGAAGGGTTTGCCCCCAAGAGTCTCCCAGGACAGCTCCAAGAGTCCCCCAGGACACTGGCCACCCAGGGAGGTAGCAGGAAGAGGCTTGGTCCTGAAATCTTTCAGAAACAGGGAGGAGGCTTTTGTAGCCCCTGGCTCCAACCCTTGTTTTTCTGTGGGCTTTGTTCAGCTTTACCACACGGAGTGCTGCTTCCTATAGCATCGAGCTTGTGTCTGGCTCAGATATAGCAGATGGAACCACAAGTAGTTTAACCCTTGTATGGTGTTCGGGTCTGTGAGACCCGTGTTCAGTTTTT